ATTTGTCATGAGGGAGTCTATGGCTACAGGTAGCATTAACTATACTTCTAAGGCCAGTGAGAGAAAGCCCAACACAAGACTTATTACAGTTATCTATAATAGTTTCTCTGGAAAGAGCAAAACAGAGGGGACTGTCCTGATTGTAGGTCTCATTATTATCAACTATGGAGAAACAAATGGGCAGGGTAGGTATGGAAATGCTGGTATTTCAGGTACAGTTACCTGATGGATAACTCAGGATCAGTAAGGTTGGAATTATTGGAAAAGTGCTTAGGTAAAGTCCCTTCACAATTAGCAACTACTAAAAGTGATGGCCTAGTGACCAAAGCTCAATTTACCTCATGGGAGGCTTCACTATTAGCAGTGAGCATTGCACACACTAGGACCATTGTCATAGGCCCAGGGATGGGATTGCCACCAGGCAAAGGGGCCAATCTGGTGGCTTATTCATAAAGACCTTTATCACCCCAGGTTTCTCTACATGAGGTCTGTTTGTGTTGTTGAGTCCTTTGCTTGTGAGGTTTCTCCTCCAGAGTTGGTTCCTTTATCTTATTGGTTGGTGGTTCTGGGGGTCCAGGGCTTGTCTTTCTGGCAGGCACCCAGATGGGGTGAGGCTCCTCTTAACCTATGCAAACCCCCGACCCGTGGTTAGGAAAGGCCTCGGACCATCCCATGCATTTGTTATGGGATCCTTCCATGAGATCATAGGTAGATGGGAGGGCCCCAAGAGGGGGGCCCAATGCTTATAGGCTGCTGTTTCCATAGAAGATTTTGACATTGAGAGAAAAATTAAAGCAAATAAGTTTTTGTTCAAGGCATCAAGAGGGGACTTGGTATAGTTTCCCTCCTGTTTTGTAGCATGGTCTTTAATTCCTTGTGTGCTTTTTCTATTATGCCTTAAGTCTAAGGGTTGTAGGGGATCCCAGTTAAGTGCTATATATGCCAATCATTACAAACCACTTGAAATGTCTTGCTAGTATAGATCGGCCCATTGTCAGTTTTAATAGACATGGGAACATTTGTAATTCCAAAACATTTAAGTAGATGGGAGATGGCCTTTTTTTGTGGTTTCTCCTGTGGGGGCTGTGGCCATTACACAGCCCGAGTTGGTATCAGTGATTATATGAATATATGTTAAATTTCCAAAAGGTACATAATAATGAGTGACATCCATTTGCCATAGAGCATTAGATTTTAACTCGGGGATTTACTCCAGCAGGTTGTGCAGGGCCAATGGGGAGAAAAGGTGCACATTTTTTGCAGTCTCTGACTAGCTGTCTGCAAGCCTCCTTAGTCCTACTTTTATGCAGCTACCATCACTGAGGGCTGCAGAGAGGCTTGAACTGCTTGTGTCTCTATATCCTGGGGGGCCAAAATCCACTCATCCAGTGTGCCATTTCAAACTGGAGCCACTGCTGCTCTGTGTTCCTTATTTAGTCCATCCCAGATCAACTTCTTGGCTAAGGCCACCCTGGCTCCTTCATGAGACACCTTCCCTTCTTCTGCCTTGTTTACCCTATCAGTAAACTGTGGCAAGTCCTCTGTGGCCTTCTGCCTTAAGCCCTGTATGGAAACTGTCCCTCCCCCAGCTGCCAACTTCCTCCAGGCTCTCAGAGCACAGAGCCACACCTGATTGAAATAATTTGGTTGGCCTGTAGCCTGTACCGCAGGGGAACTATAGTTCCCTCTCCCTGCAAGCAGTCAGCTGGAAGGCTAACATTTGTGGTGTGGTTAGGATCTCCTTGGTGTTCACATTCATCACAGGAGAATGCCTTCCACTTCAAAAATGTTGCAGGCTCAAGAGCTGCTCTGGCTAGGTCTCTCCAGTCCTGAGGGCAATTTAGTTCAAGACTGAGTGATTCAAGCGTTTGCTCTGCAAGGTGCTCTGGTGTGGGGACCGTGTTGACCGGGAAGGCTTGTACTCCCTCACCCCACTTCTCATCTCTTATCCTACATAGATGTTCAAAAGGATCTCTGGCTCCTGGAATAGGTTTCTGGGACACCATGTCTGGAGCCTGTCTGGTGGCCTGGTCATTTCCAAACTGTCATAGTCCTTTGCTGGCTTTGGCATTGCCTCATAAGGAGGCAGTTGCCATTGACTCAGGGAAGGATATCACCTTTGCCTGTCAGTAGAAGGCGCACCTGCACCACTTGTGGTCACCTCTTCCTGCACATGAAGGCTAGAGGTACCATTTCCTGCCTTTCTCCCTCCTATACCTGCTGCGGTTGCTTTTGAGGTAGAATTCTCCCTCACCTTTTTCCCCCATCTGTCTCTCACAGCCTCATCTTCCCTCAGGGCCATCATTATATGACCAGGGTCTGTTGCAGGTTCCCCTAAACTTTGCTGAATGGCTGTCACAATAGGAAAAAATGTAGTGATATATTATACCCCTGTCTCACTTCAGCTTGCTGCTCATTTGACATTATCTTGTCCCATATCCTAGGATCAAAATCATCAGCAGTATTGATCCGTGGGTTAGTGTTTATTATTATTATTACATCTCAGAACTTCTGGGCTTCTCTCTTCTTCAGGATTAAACCTCTAGTATCTAAGAGAGTGTGCAGCACTTGCAGCTGCGAGTCTGTGGTGGAACTCAGTAGGTTCCCCATTTTCCCTTCTTCACTGCTCTGTGAGGGGCCACACCCTGTCTTATAGGCTTACCTCAGGTCCCTGCTCGGGCACCTGCTATGTGGGCTCTCTCGTCCAGCAAGGAGGTCCCACAGAACAGGGTAGAGGAGAGTGTGACTGCGGAGTCACTAATCAAGTCCTGCAAGACCAAGCAGGAAGCAGGTCTGATTTCAGTGTGCAGTTACCGTGTATATATACTCAGGCAGTAGCTGAGCAGATTACAGGCAGTCACCAATGCAATGTCTGCTAACTGTCCTTGCAGCCACCAATCGAGGAGTGGGCTATGGAGCAAGTGCAGCGACTGCAACACATGACCTCATGCCTAGGGCTGTGCTTACAGGGTAGGTAGTTTGCCGCTCACACGCCTAGCATGGGGGAGTGGTTTGCCACTCAGGCGCCCTTAACATATGCCATGTGTGCAGTACTCCATGCCCTTGTCCCCACAAGGCAGAAAATTCTCTCAGGTGTCCATCTTTGAGGAGTGTTGTACAGTCTTAGCCAGTGAGACTTTTCTCCAGGCCCCTCTCATTTGTGTGACTTGTGGAGAGGTTGGGTGTCCTTTTCATCTTTGTTCTTCTATAGGCAGATTTCTTCTTGCTGGCTTTATTGATAATTTTTTTCATTTTTTTCAATTTTGTTGCTAGGGATTGAACCACTGAGCCACATCCCCAGCCCATTTTTTGTTGTTTTATTTTAATATTTATTTTTTAGTTGTAGTTAAACACAATACGTTTATTTTACTTATTTATTTTTATGTGGTGCTGAGGATTGAATCCAGGGCCACACACATGCTAGACAAGTGCTCTACCTCTGAGCCACAACCCCAGCCCTGTTGTTTTATTTAGAGACAGGGTCTCACTGAGTTGCTCAGGGTCTGAGTTGCTGAGGCTGGCTTTGACCTTGTGACCCTCCTGCCTCAGCCTCCTGGGCCACAGGGATCACAGGCATGCACCACTGTGTCTGGCTATGTTTTTATTTTTTTGAGTGCTGTTTTAGCATATTACCCAGTTTGACATTGCTTATTTGAGAACTCCAACGTATTGGCCATATCTGTCTGATGCCTGTTCTTTCACCTCATGTTGTAGTTTCACCTTTGCTCTGCAATGTGGTTTTCCTTCTTCCTAGGCACATGGTGTGCTGGGTAAATGAACTGGAAAGCATAGGCGTGCTGGAAGCGGTCTTAGTTTCTTCGCCTGATATAGCAAAACATCTTGTACTGGGTGCTTTGTAAGAAGCAGAAATGCATTGCTCATAGTTTCAGTGGCTGGAAAGATAAGATTAGGTGTCTGGTGAGGTCCATCCTTCCTAAGTGGGGCCTGTTCTGTGTCCTCACATGGTGAGATGTGCGAAGAAACCCCCTTCCCTTCTTTCTCCCGTGTTTAGGGGGTAGTCCCACTCCTGAGCTCCTTCCACACAGGACCAGTCATGTCCCAAAGGCACCAGCTTTTGTTCTGATGCGTTGGTGTGAGGCTTCAGTGTGCAGGTGTTGGGAAGACCCCTCCCCCTCCCCCGGGGACGTGGGCCTCAGTTTTGTAAGTCCTTCTTCTGTGGAGCTTCTGCCTCTGGGTGGGGGTTTCATATGTGTTCCCTGTTGTTATTGAGTTTTCCTCCCCTGTGGTGAGTCCAGATGGCCAGAGTGGACTGGATTTGGGCGTTTCTGTCCTCCTCTGGGGATGGCTGGTATGGGCTGAAGCTGGGTATCCCCTCCACCCAAGTAACTCAAGCTTAAGCTCTGACACAGCACATCAGGTCAGGCTCTGCCTAAGTGGCTTCCTGGGGACCAGCGAGTTAGGAAGAAGAGTGCTTTGGTCTGCCCCACAGTGGAAGCCAGGGAGTTCTGAGGTGCACGCAGTCCTGGTGTGTTTGCCTAGCCCGTGTTGTGTGGTGCTGTGGCTGGACTGGAGTGGGGACTTCATGACCTGAAGAGCACGGCACCTCTTCTTTTCCAGTGAGGTGCATGTTACGGCACACAACAGGGCTCTCCTTTCTCCTGTCTCACCCCAGTCTGTATAGAAATTGGGTCCAGATTAGTGCGTTAGACACCTTCTTCCTGGTGTTTATACTACGTCTTCATGCCAGATCACATGGTCCTTGGAGCAGCAGGATTTTAGTCATGTATATTTCCACTAACAAGGATGGTTTTAGGTCTATAAGGTAAAATTTGTGAAAGTCTTTACAATAATTTAATAATTATAGTGGCAGGATTTTTCTGATTTTCCTTTCTCCCTTGATGTAAAGTACAAAGCAAACTCTTAATTTTACATGAGATACTTGGACACACACACACACACACACACACGAGTTAATGCCCAGATTCTTGTTTTTGTGCCCAGGGAAGAGGGCTTGGGCTGAGGAGACATGTTCATTACAGGGGATGGTGTCCTTTGAGGATGTGTCTGTGGACTTCACCTGGGAGGAGTGGCAGGACCTGGATGATGCTCAGAGGACCCTCTACAGGGACGTGATGCTGGAGACCTACAGCAGCCTGGTGTTCTTGGGTGAGTGAAATGCCCCAGTAACTCCCAGAAGGAACACTTTGTTCCTTGGTGGTAAATGTAGGCACCGTTTGTAACATTTCATGCCGCTTAGGTTGAAAACTCGAGTCCGTGAATAACACATTACCCCTCTCTAGTCAAAGGTTCCTGCAGGCCCCTTCATTGCCCAGCTTCTAGGTGGGCTGCTGTCATTCTCCAAAGTCCTGCATTATTTCTCATTAACAGGGCTTTTCATTACCAGACCTGAAGTTATTTTCAAGTTGGAGCAAGGAACAGAGCCATGGCTGGTTAAAGAAGCCCTGGACCGGTGCCTTCCAGGTCAGTCTGTGTGCTGGGCATGGGAGGCCAGGAGGAACAAGCAGGGCAGAGGTCGGCCTTGCCCCGCACCCTCACACCTTGTCGGCTCAGGGAGGCCGTGGTGGCTCACGTGCCCCTGCTCTGTTGAGTTCTCCGTCCACTGGCACTAGCTTAAGCCCACCTTCCCTGTGGCTGCTTTTGCTACCACATTTCCAGTGTCCTCATTGCCCTGGTTTCTCCATGCTGTGGACTTTGTTCAGATGTTAGTTCACACGTTCGTTTATCCTTTCTGCGTATCTTAATTGAGCAGATTTTAAACTTGATAATATTATAGTTGTACATAATACCACAGTGCTCAAAGTGATGCCTTTTTTTCCCTATAGTTTACAGTCTGATGAGAGGGAAATGAGAATGATATTATAGGTTGTTGGATTAGAACCACAAGGCGTATTTAATCAGTGAGAGAGAGAAGTGTTGTGTGATGGTTCAAGAAGGGGGTCAGAGAAGGTGATATCAGGGGATGTTAGAAGTCTGCTTTGGCATAGCTGCAGTTTGAGTTGCCACTTTTCCAATGTTGATATATAGCCTATAGGAAATGTAAAATCTAAATTCAAGAGTGGGACGACTTAGAGATATAGATTTAGAAATCAGTGGTTTAAAGCTATTAATTAAGTCATTTTTATTGAGTAAGTCATCTTTACAATTGATAAGAAAATGAGAAGAAGGGTCCAAGAGTGAGCCTCATGTACCACAATGTTGGAAATCAGGAAGCAGAGGAAGACCTGGCATAGGAGCATGATAAGGGAGGTCCTGGACTTGGAAGAGACCAGGAGGTTCTGGTTCTCAGGGCCAAATGAACCAGTGTGTGTTGCAGTGCTCAGACTTTTGGGGGAATGGATCTTGAATTCAGCATTTCTGCCTTCCATTTGTGGAAATCATTCTAAAATAACAGAATGAGAAATGAACAGGAGATTCCATTTTCTATGACACTGGGAGATAGCTAAACACCAACACAATACAGAGCAGAGCATTACCAAGCAGGGCCATGTACTGTACCTTGGAAATGGTACTCCAGGGCTGCTGGCCACAGAGGTAGTGCAGAGCTAGAACCTCTGGCCAGGAGGGTTGTCCAGGTTGTGGCTGCAGTTCCTCAGGCCTGGTTCAGAGGAACACAGGGAACTGGGTTCAATTAGGAATTTGCAGGAAGCTGTCCTGGTTCAACATGGGGAAGAGGAGTTTTTCTTTTAATTTGAAATCCCCTAAAAGCCTCTAGCCACTTCCCAGGGAGTTGTGAAAACTAAATAAACACATATGGTTCCCATCCCTAAGCCATATTCCTTCCAGACAAATGACCTTCCTGCAACTTCAGGTAGCCGATCCATAAAGTCTTTCCAGTCTTCAAAACAGAACTGGTATGAATGCCAGCAGGAAATACCCACCATTGTTAATAAAATAGAGGGAGGAATTGAGAAAATAAATGGCCAAAAGTTAGCACTTAGTTTAAAATTGCAACCAGCCACTAAGGACATATTTTTACCAAATATTTCTTCACAATATAAAAAAGAAAAAAGTGAATCAATGAAAAGCAATTTAGCACTAGAAAATCAATTAATGTAACATTTCACTGTCAAAAAGAAAAACCATACACTTATAAAGCTAGTACTTATTGACTCCTATAAACTCTTATGCTGCTGTGATAGGAAGAAACTTCTTTACATTTACATGAGCATTCTACAAAGGGTGTTGACATGTGGTTCATGGGAGTGTTTGTTTATTTCTTATTTTGTCATTTCAGATGTGCAGATAGTTGATGATGTGGTTGAGAACAGCCAAGAAAATCACAGAAGACACTTGTGGCAAGTTGTTGTCAACAGCAGCACATCAGCTAGGGAGAGACTTGAATTAGGAAAGGCATTTCATTTGAGCTCAAAATGTATTTCAAATCTGATGGTAAATAATGGGAACTCTTCAGTAATGAGACCTCAGGAGTTGGATGTGTACCAACTCATGCCTTTCCCTGGAGGGCCTGTTGTGAGATGCGCAGCAGAGAAGTCTGGTGCCTACGAGGTGCCAGGGAAGGCCCTCAAACACAGTGAACTCCTCAGCCAGAGCCACAATGCCCAGGCTGGGCAGCAGCATCTGGAAGGTGGGGGACAAGGGAGTGCCCTCAGCACAGAGAGGGGCAGCATGGCAGGGACCTGTTCGCACAGTGAGTGTGGGAACAGCTGTGCGTCTCCCCAGGCAGGGAGGAAACCCTTCACATGTGGTCTGTGTGGCAAGACTTACTCCAGAGCATCTGCCCTTGCTGACCATCAGAAAAAGCACACAGGAGAGAAGCCCTACAAGTGCAGCAGATGCGAGAAGTCCTTCTTTGTTAGATCTGTTCTTAGAGACCACCAGAGAACACACACTGGGGAGAGGCCCTACACATGCAGCAGCTGTGACAAGTCCTTCTGCCATCGGTCGGCCCTCATTACGCACCAGAGGATCCACACTGGGGAGAGGCCCTACGAATGCTGTGAATGTGGGAAGGCCTTCCGCAGGAAGTCGGCTCTCATCATCCATCGCAGGATTCACACAGGAGAGAAGCCCTATGAGTGTGAGGTGTGCAAGAAAGCCTTCTGTCAGAAATCAGTCCTCAGCTTACATCAAAGGACTCACACAGAAGAAAAGCCCCACGAGTGTGACCAGTGTGGAAAAGCCTTCTGCCGGAAGTCGGCCCTTACCATCCATCAGAGGATCCACACGGGAGAGAAGCCCTATGAGTGTGCACAGTGCAAGAAGACCTTCTGTCAGAAGGCAGGCCTCACTTTGCACCAGAGGACTCACACAGAAGGAAAACCCCATGAGTGTGACCAGTGTGGAAAGACGTTTTTCCTGAAGTCGGGTCTCACCATGCATCACAGGACTCACACGGGGGAGAAGCCCTTCAAATGCAGTGAGTGTGGGAAGGCCTTTTCCCAGAAGACCCACCTCCGGAGGCACCAGAGCATGCACACCGGGGAGAAGCCCCACACATGTGCCCAGTGTGGGAAAGCCTACTTTCATAAGTTGGATCTCACCAAACACCTGCGGATTCACACTGGCGAGAAGCCCCACGTGTGTGCTCAGTGTGGGAAAGCTTTTCGCATGAAGTCATACCTCCACGTGCATCAGAGAACACACACTGGGGAGAGGCCATACGAGTGCAGCAGGTGTGGGAAAGCCTTTCGCCGCAAGTCGCATCTCAGCAGTCATCAGAAGACTCACCCGGAAGCTGCTCCGCATGGTGGAGACTGGCTGTGTGTGCTGCAGAGAGCCCCGTCTGTTCTCTAGCTCACCTGCCTACCCCTGCCTCTGCTTGCTGTGGGAGGAGCCTGCAGCTGCCTGAGTCCATGCAGTGTAGACACATGGGACCAATGTTGCTTCCAGGTTAGATGACAAACATTCCCTGTGATGCTGTCAGATGACAGACATTCCCTGTGACGCTGCCCGAGTTCTTGAGTCCCATGATACCCAGGGTGGCCTTGAGAAATCTTGTTAGAGAAGGTGATTGTGACCGAGAAAGAGTTGCCTGAAGAGATCAGATGGCTTCTCCTCTTTCCAAGCCTCCATTTATACCTCGTAGGAGTGAGAAATAAATCCTCCTCTGTTGAGCCATTTTTCGTGTGATCTGTTTGCATTACAACCCACTGAGGCACATTCCCTGTACAAGCTTTTGAGAGAAGTTTTCAGCCCTTGTTATGAAATTCACACAGAAACCTGTCATCATCTTTTATTCTTTGTTCAGTTTACCAGAAAAATCAGAGGAATAATGCCACAAATTGGGAACACCTTTTCAGGCAGAACACGGAGAATGAAGTAAATTTTTATTATAAAAATCTTTGGTGTGTCAAAGCTTTGAACATAACTTTCAGTTTTTTCATATACCAGAATTTTTTGTAAAGGGAAAGCAACTGATTTATGTGATAAGGATATAAATTTTCAAATAGGTTGCATATAGTATCACAATGCTTGTTGAAGTACTGGACCATTGGCCAGTAGTGATGTGAGTGGTGATGTGGCCTGCCAGCAGGTATTTGACTCTATCTGCAGGAACTTGGGGTTGTCGTAACTGGAGTTCATAGGACCAGCCTCTGCACAAAGCAGCTCCTCCAGGTGGAGGGTTTGTGCATGAGCATTCAGCATTACCACGTTCTCTGACCGGAAACCCATGGTGGAGATGTATGTGTACACCTGCCATAATGTGACACATTGAGATACTCCAACTAAATACTGCTCTAGCTTCTTTATTCCTGAATACATGAAGTGTAAAGTATCATTGTACATACTTCCCCCCTACTTTTCTATTGTATAAAATTTGTGTAAATAATATTACTAATCTGATTTTTGATTGGCAAATATAACTTCTTTCTGAAGTTCGCATCTTTCAGAGTCAGCCAGTAGGGTTTTTTTTTTTTTTTTTTTTTAATTTTAGGTGGACACAATTTTTTTTTTATGTGGTGCTGAGGATCGAACCCAATGCCTCATGCATGCTAGGTGAGCACTCTACCACTGAGCCACAACCCCAGCCCAAACCAGTAGGTTTTTAATACAAGCAAATACACAGAAATGTGTGAGTCAGGCATGTTGTTAACGTCTTAAGTCTGATTAGACAGATGTGAGCAACGGCCCTGACTTTCCTACTCCGTGTAAAGCAGTCTGGAAGGAAAGTTTCCCTCTGTTGACGGCAGACATGAGTGTGTGCTAAGGAGCTGTGTGATCGAGGGGTCTTCGTTTGCAGTGATGTGCCCTGTGTGCATTTCCGTTGGTGGGGATAGTGACTCTTCCCTCTGTTGATTGCCCTTGCTTCATACCTGGATGGGGAGTGCTAACAGGACTTGCCTCCAGGGTTGAAGTGAGGCACCTGCTGGATGCTGCAGAGCTTTGAGCACTGCCTGGCACTTGGTGAGTACTGAGTCACCTGGCTGTGAGAGTGATGGCGATGACTGATCTACAGAGTAACTGTTACAAGCGGCAGGTGGCAATGACAGACTTGTTCGGCTTCGTGAGAACCATCTTCAACTTTCTGGCAAAGTGTTTTCTTAGCTTACCCATTTCTACACATGAGATACTCAGAGTTACTGGGTTAAACTTTGTATTAGCCAAGATCATTCTTTCTTTTAGTACTCTTTGGGCTGAGCATGATTGGTAGGGGTCTGTGGCTTGTCTGGAAAAGCCCTCTCAAGGCAGAAGGGAGATGTGGAAGAGACAGCAGCAGGACATTGGTTACTAGGTGTGCCCCCTGCTTGCACATTCCAGCCCTTGGAGTAGAGACTGGAGAGCTGTTGAGGCAGTGTGGTGGTGTGAAGGGCCACCAGTAGCCAACCCAGGAGCCCCTCTTTTTTGGAGACATTTATGCAGAGTATTCAGTTTTTTGGTAGCAGGGATTAAACCCAGTCACACTTAACCACAGAGCCACATCCCCAGCTCTTTTTATATTTTATTTAGAGACAGGGTCTCACTGAGTTGCTGAGGCGTGTACCACCATGCCCGGGAGCATTCGGTTTCTATTGCAAAAGAAATAGCCACTGTTCTTCGTGTTACAGTTTCTGAGATTCTTGTCTAGAGATGGCTCAGGTGGGTTCCTGGCTTAGGATCTTAGGAGGCTGCAGTCAAGGTGAGACCAGGCTGGGAAGCACCACTTATGAGTTCATTTGTGTTTGAGCAGACGTGGTTCCCTTGGGGAAACATTTCTCTTGTGCTATCTCCAGTGTAAATTGAGTATGTATAGCCCCATGCCATGAATGTAAACCCCTCACATCAAGACTGGGGAAGACCTAGCTGATCAATAATTTGAGTGCCGAGGCTGGGGTTGTGGCTCAGTGGTAGAGTCCTTGCCTGGCATGTACAAGGCCCTGGGTTCGATCCTCAGCACCACATAAAAATAAATAAAATAAAGGCATTGTGTCCAACTACAACTAAAAAATAAATATAAAAAAATAATTTGAGTGCCATTTCTTCATCCTCAAAATGTGGGTTAAAGGTTTTGTGTCAAGCAGATGGTCGATCATATCATGGGCTGGAGCTGTTACACAGTGGCAGAGTGCTTGCCTCGCATGTGTGAGGCACTGGGTTCAACTCTTGGCACCACACAAAACTAAATAAAATAAAGGTCCATTGATAACTAAGAAAATTAAATAGAAAGGTCACATCACTTACAAGCAGTGATGGTTGGCTCCTTCCTTTCCTGCTCTTGCTGGTTTCCTCCTCTTGCTTCACTACTCTGGCGGCATTTCTGGGACCACGTTGATAAGAACGTGAGTGTGGACTCTGTTCCAGTGTCCCTCCGTTCACTGTGACGTTGGTGGGGGTTCATTCTACATGGCCTTATGATGTCCCCATGTTTTTCAGTGTTTTGTCATGTATGAGGGCTGGATGTTGTCCAAGGCTACCTCTGCGTATGTTGAGATAACTAAGTGATTTTTTTGCCTTAATTTTGTTTTTGTGATGAATTACTTTTATTGATTTGCATGGGTTAAAACATCCTTGCTACCCTGGGGATAAAACCAATTTGTCATTTTGCACAATTTTCTTAATATGTTGAATGCAATTTCTTTCTATTTATTCGATGGATTTTTATCTAAGTTCGTTAGGTATATTGGTCTATAATTTGCTTGATGTATCTTTTATCTTTTTTTGGTATGAGTATGATACTAACTTCATAGAAAGAATTTGGAAGTATTCCATCTCTTTCTGTTTTATGGAATAATTTGAGGAACATTGATATTAGTTCTTTAAAGGTCTGGTAGAATTTGGCTGAGAATCCATGCAGTCACGGGCTTTCTTTCTTTCCTTTCTTTCCTTTCTCTTTCTCTCTTTCTCTCTTTCTTTCTTTCATCTTTATTTTATTTTTTATGTGGTGCTGAGGATCAAACCCAGTGCCTCATGCATGGGAGTGCTCTGCCTCTGAGCCACAACCCCATCATGGGCTTTCTTTATTGAAAGATTTTTTTAAATTACTGATACCACTTGTTATCAGTGATGAGTTCTGCTTCCTCAAAAGTTTATGTTTGAACATTAGAGAAGTGCACTGAAGTGGCCCATAGCTGGTGTTCTTTTACCCCAGGAAGCGGGCGTGTCTTGCCCCTTTTACACATTTTAGATTTTCTTTTTTATTATTATTATTGGTTGTTCAAAACATTACAAAGCTCTTGACATATCATATTTCATACATTAGATTCAAGTTGGTTATGAACTCCCCATTTTACCCCAAATACAGATTGCAGAATCACATCGGTTACACATCCACATTTTTACATAATGCCCTATTAGTAACTGTTGTATTCTGCTACCTTTCCTATCCTCTACTATCTCCCATCCCCTCCCCTCCCATCTTCTCTCTCTACCCCATCTACTGTAATTCATTTCTCTCCTTGTTTATTTTTCCATTCCCCTCACAACCTCTTATATGTAATTTTGTATAACCATGTGGGTCTCCCTCCATTACCATGCAATTTCCCTTTTCTCTCCCTTTCCCTCCCACCTCATGTATCTGTTTAATGTTAATCTTTTCTTCCTGCTCTTCCTCCCTGCTTTGTTCTTAGTTGCTCTCATTATATCAAAGAAGACATTTGGTATTTGTTTTTTAGGGATTGGCTAGCTTCACTAAGCATAATCTGCTCTAGTGCCATCCATTTCCCTGCAAATTCCATGATTTTGTCATTTTTTAGTGCTGTGTAATACTCCATTGTGTATAAATGCCACATGTTTTTATCCATTCATCTATTGAAGGGCATCTGGGTTGGTTCCACAGTCTAGCAATTGTGAATTGTGCTGCTATGAATATCGATGTAGTGGTATCCCTGTAGTACGCTCTTTTAAGGTCTTCAGGGAATAGTCCAAGAAGGGCAATAGCTGGGTCAAATGGTGGTTCCATTCCCAGCTTTCCTAGGAATCTCCATACTGCTTTCCAAATTGGCTGCACCAGTTTGCAGTCCCACCAGCAATGTACAAGAGTACCCTTTTCCCCTCATCCTCGCCAGCACTTGTTGTTGTTTGACTTCATAATGGCTGCCAATCTTACTGGAGTGAGATGGTATCTTAGGGTGGTTTTGATTTGCATTTCTCTGACTGCTAGAGATGGTGAGCATTTTTTCATGTACTTGTTGATTGATTGTATGTCCTCCTCTGAGAAGTGTCTGTTCAGGTCTTTGGCCCATTTGTTGATTGGGTTATTTGTTTTCTTATTGTTTAATTTTTTGAGTTCTTTGTATACTCTGGATATTAGGGCTCTATCTGAAGTGTGAGGAGTAAAAATTTGTTCCCATGATGTAGGCTCCCTATTTACCTCTCTTATTGTTTCTCTTGCTGAGAAAAAACTTTTGAGTTTAAGTAAGTCCCATTTGTTGATTCTTGTTATTAACTTTTGTGCTATGGGTGTCCTATTAAGGAATTTGGAGCCCGACCCCACAATATGTAGATCGGAGCCAACTTTTTCTTCTATCAGACGCAGAGTCTCTGATTTGATATCTAGCTCCTTGATCCACTTTGAGTTAACTTTTGTGCATGGCGAGAGGAGGGGATTCAGTTTCATTTTGTTGCATATGGATTTCCAGTTTTCCCAACACCATTTGTTGAAGATGCTATCCTTCCTCCATTGCATGCTTTTAGCTCCTTTATCAAATATAAGATAGTTGTAGCTTTGTGGATTAGTCTCTGTGTCCTCTATTCTGTACCATTGGTCCACCCGCCTGTTTTGGTACCAGTACCATGCTGTTTGTGTTACTATTGCTCTGTAATATAGTTTTAAATCTGGTATCGCTATACTGCCTGATTCACACTTCCTGCTTAGAATTGCTTTTGCTATTCTGGGTCTTTTATTTTTCCATATGAATTTCATGATTGCTTTATCTATTTCTACAAGAAATGCTGTTGGGATTTTGATTGGCATTACATTAAACCTATAGAGAACTTTTGGTAACATCGCCATTTTGATGATGTTAGTTCTGCCTATCCATGAACAGGGTATATTTTTCCATCTTCTAAGATCTTCTTCTACTTCTCTTTTTAGGGTTTTGTAGTTTTCATTGTATAAATCTTTCACCTCTTTTGTTAGGTTGATTCCCAAGTATTTTATTTTTTTTGAGGATATTGTGAATGGAGTGTTTTTCCTCATTTCCATTTCAGAAGTTTTGTCACTGATATACAGAAATGCCTTTGATTTATGCGTGTTGATTTTATATCCTGCCACTTTGCTGAATTCACTTATTAGTTCTAGTAGTTTTTTTGTAGACCCTTTTGGGTCTTCTAGGTATAGAATCATGTCACCCGCAAATAGTGATAATTTAAGTTCTTCCTTTCCTATTTTTATGCCTTTAATTTCTTTCATCT